CACTTGTTATTTACAGTAAGATAAATACATTCACCAACTTTTATTAAAATAAAACCATTTAAACTGGGTGTTCGGATTTATATGTCACTTAGTATACGTATGTGGAGTGGAAACCGCATGATCATTACGTTTTAGCAATTGGATTAAAATCTGGACATTAAATGTGTAGCATTCTATGTTTTCAGAAGCCATTTGTCTAGAAGCACCGTTTCAAAGTGGTAAATTTGTAACCTCTTGCTTACAGGAATACGGTAGCGGTGACGAAGAGAATGCTCCTGATGGAAGAAATAGAAGACATTCAAGTCCTCCAGATTCGAGGTCAGGAAGCACAACAGCCTTACACCAACAGGATTACGCAGATTCGGTGAGTCCAGTTCAAATAATAAATGTCACTATTCAAATATAATAACCACAATTGAGGTACGGTTATTGTGTCGTAGTCAGAAAACATAGGAGCCCCAATCATGCGAATAAATCATTACGAGAAGCAAAATGGAAACTCTCCCACAATAATCTTTGTTGACTTGTGCTTTATAGAGTGCAGGTGACGAGGACAAGTTAAAATGTTGGAATCCCTCAGATATTTTTTGCTGTCCTCAACTTTCTTATGTACTGGTCGAAAAACAATAGGCATAATCGATAATTATAGATTAAATTCAGGAGTCGGCATCCTTTTACTGAATATTTTATTCCTCCCTCCCTCATTATCGCACATTTTTAAATAGCTGTTTTGTAATTTTTTAAGCCATTGTTCAAAATATTTTCTATACTACCTTTATCTTCCCGCTTCCAATGTGCATATCTTCCAAAGCTAATTGATGCTCGAATCAAATTCCAGTCCAAACAAATATTGTACCTACCACAGTTTTTATTGAAAAAATTCTCGCTGGTGCTGAAAAAGGAAAACAAGATACATGACACAACCGTGCAAAATTTATTTATTTTCCTCTCCAACGGTTGCATTATTCTTTTAAATAGAAAATGTGAAAACCGTATTTTCGAGACAACCCTCGTATTTCTCCATAATTGAAAAGAAATGTTGATACGTTGTATTTAGCTGCCCTTGAAAGGTAGATCTGCAAACACTTGTTGACTTTTGCTAATTGCTTGGAATTTTGTAGTGCTTTTTCACAAAACCTTCAAATGCCTTCGATACTTTTAGCTAAAATGCTATAATTGTTACATCTCAATGTTGCGTTCCTGAAAATAATCCTAATCCTGAAACCAGCATCAATGTTAAGAATCCAAAGAAACCATCGCAAACATGCTAAGCGCAAAAAACTTGCGTACTGTTTGTTACTCGTCGTCATAATCCAAAAAGTAAAAGAGAAAGTTTTGAACAAGATAATACCTTTATTGAGTTTAGTGAAATTATTGTAGTTACAAGTTACATAACGTATAATGGTCAACTACTTTTTCATACAGGATAAAGGTGATTTTCAGTTTAGTTTATTTTCAGATTTAAAACATGAATACAGGTATTTTATGAGCAATAAGAACGTTAAGAGCTGGAATCTTTCCGAAAAAAATATTTAGTTTAATCAGAACAATGATTGGCGAATATGAATTGGAAAATAGTAATACCAGCACTTACACTACACGCTACACTGGGTTAAGCTTATATAACATTAAAATATGTATATCACAGTTATGTACAGTTTCACGTAATACTATTAACTAATTTGTATGAAAAATGCACATTTAGATCATATATAAGTAGTAAATTAGACTTAATTGACAAGAATGTATTACAGCGCTTTTCAAATAAGTGCCTCCTACTATTGTCTGAATTCAAAGAATTTGTTGTCGAAAATTTATCGGAGAGATGGGTGGGCTCTAGGCGCCGAAAAAAGGACCTCTAGTGGAGGATTCGGCTTATAAGTCTAATTGGTTATTCTGATTTTTTTACAGCATATAAACAATCATACTTCTCATACTCGCTTAGAAGTAAGTCACATTGCTCCTATGATTATGACATCTTTGAAGTTCTTCAATCTACAAGTTGAACAGAATACAGCATAATCAGGAGAGTTTCGCGAATGCTGATCATGATAACGATGACGACGATGATAATGATAACGATGATGTTAACGATGATGTTAACGATGATAACGAAGATGACGATGATGATGATGTTGGTGATGATGACTATGACGATGACGATGACGATTACGATTACGATGATGATGATGATGATGATGATGATGATGACGATGAAGATGTCGACGAAGATGATGATGATAATGATGATGCTGACGATGATGTTGCTTGAGATGACGATGATGTTGCTTGAGATTAGGCTTCTTTTTGTCAATCATCGTCTCATCTAATCATCACAAAACATCAAGATAATATCAAGGAGTTAACACAAAACATGTTATTCCTTGTCATGTAGCGTTTCTATCAGCCATTGTTCTGCACAAAACGCACTTATGGTATGATATTACTCGTATTTAGAACAGGCTCTAAAAATTTGGCACTCAATTTTTTCATACAAATTTATGTACTAAATGCTCCTTAATTTAGTACGAAACTTAGCGTACTGAATTGACCACAACATTTCGTATCATCACAGACATATTATATAAGGACATGGAGAGATTCTATCTTATAAGCCTCAAATTCTTATCCTGACACGAAAAGTGACGTAATGCCCTTCCGATCAAATTACCGGATCCTCTCTGACTCCCCATCTGTTTCCCGAGGGAGGTCTGGTGATTTCCGCTTCATCCACATCAATCGAACCTAGTCCAGTGTCGTTCAGTCACCGCCTGCTGCGGTATTGCCGGCCGCAATTTGGATTCCCGGAATTATTAGAATGCATACGATGCCGATGGTTTGAATACGGGCCATTATCGCTCTTACCAACAACGCCCTTCATTGCGTTTTGAATTGCAGTGTTGCCTAATACTTCTTAGTTCGCCACTGGGCGAGGAAGTATTGTAATCGATAAAAATGTTTTTTGAATATTATTTGCATTACGAGAAACACTCGGATTTTGATGAAATTTTCACGCAAGGTTACTAGTATGAAAATGACGAAAAAGCTTTGTAGATTTTGAAAATTGGTCCAGTAGCGGCGGAGCTAGGGGCAAAAATACGAAAAAAAAGTAAGTAAGTCGAAAATGGATCAAAGAGAATGGGTGGGCTCTAGGCGCGGAAAAAAGAACTTCTAGTGCAGGATCCACTGGCTTATAGGTCTGATTGGTTCTAAAGTCATTCTGATTTTATCGAACGCAGTGTATTTGACGTTCTCATACTCGTTTAGTAGCATGTCACACCGCCCCTTTGATCATGACATCTTTTAAGAACTTCAATCTACAGAATACAGCATAAGCAGGGGAGTTTCGCGAATGCTGATGATGATGACGATAGCGACGATGATGGTGACGATAATAATGACAATGATGATGCTGACGATGACGACGATAATGACGATGATGGTGATGATAACGATGGTGATAACGATGATTTTAGCGATGATGACGATGACGATGATGATGATGACGATAATGATGATAATTATAACGGTGATGTTAACGATGATAATAACGATGATGTCGAAGATGACGATGATGACGATGATGATGATGATGATGATGATGATGATGATGATGATGATGATGATGATGATGATGATGGTGATGATGATGATGGTGACGATGACGATGTCGACGATGATGATGATGATGATAATGATGATGCTGACGATGATATTGCTTGAGATGACGATGATGTTGCTTGAGATTAGGCTTGTTTTTGTCAATCATCGTCTCATCTTATCATCACAAAACATCAAGATAAGGTTACTAGTATGAATGAGTAGTAATGAAATACGAAAAAAAAGTAATAATCATTTCTTGGACTTGTAATTGGCCTAGGCAGTAAAAAAATCTAGGGAATTGTCTGAAAATTTGGAGTGATTCAAACGTAAGGGATTTCAAATATGTATTGCCAATAATCATAAGGTGATCAAAGAACTAAATAAGGATGTATAAAAAGATCTGGGTCTGGGCTAGCGCAAAGTCTTCAACAAATAAATACAGCAGTAACTGATATTAGGTCATAAAAAATATACACAATTGGAAAATAAAAATTAGTGACATTCTTCTTGATGCTGTAAGCATCATTACATCCAAGTAAACATATTACGAAATTCGAAAACATTTGCAATCACATTTATTAATATTGTATTTTTTATTGATACACAACCAAAACCGGTGAGACGTTATAGAAAATTTACTATAGCTTCAGTAGTTGTAACGTTTTTCTGCAATATTAATCGCTGCGTAGGTGGACCGAGTTGACTGTGTGTGAATACGATTTAGACTTGTAAACAACAGTATCGTTAATATACGCCGATCATATCATTTCATATTGTTTACGTTATAGAGCGTCGTAGATTTACGAGCTGAATAACGGCACATGATGTACCAAAGTAGTTCTTAATGTGCATTTTTCATTTTCTTACAACTAATTATATACACGCAAAGAGTAACTTACAACAGGCAAGTTGAGTCATCATCTTAGATGCTCTCCGGTCACGTTCAACTGGACCTCGCATAAATGGGAATAAAAAGTTGCAAACGGAATAAGAATATGCAACATTGTTGTCCGCTAGCATTTTCATATTGCAATAAAGTAAATGAGAAAACAGTTTATTTGAAGAAATAAAATTTCAACAGTTCCACATCTGTTAGGGAAACACCTGCTATGTACGTCGCATTTATTCTATTCCTGATATATGGCAAGACAAACACATTTTCTGTATAAAGTGTCGACTACTGATGAAATTACCATTTTGTACATTTTCAATAGCACTGTATGAAATGTTTAGATAATGACTTGAAAACTTATTTCAGGATATAAGTTTGAACAAATCATATTTGAACTTCGCGTGGATTTTAACATCCATACTTCCATTTTCGTCAGTAGCAGTATTAAGCCGATACTGCTCGCTATTTTCTCTTAGTGCGTCTCGATGTACTATACAAAGGTGAATTATCCAGCTACAGCTTTTGCAGTGCTCTCCTCAGTTCTTCTGTGGCTTTGGAGAGGCTTCCGTTGCCGCCTTTGAGCTTGAGCTCGTCGACGGCTCTGTCTTCGCATCCGTAGTCTTTGGGGGGCTCCGTGGGTAGGTGTGTAGCCGTAGCATCTACCGCTGCTTCCGAACTTTGGCCTTGGAATGTGCACGCGTTTCACGTCGACTAACCAGGATTCCATCTTAGATACTTGGGGCTGGAAGAGATAGAAAGAGATATTATCAAACTGTGACATTGGTTCTACTTTATACAGGGTAGGGTGACTTCGAAGTTGAGTCATTTATTTTAACAGTGAGTAGATTTGATCAAAAGAAATGTTTTCCTTTACCATTTTTCTGGTAAAATTAAAAGTAACAAAGTTATAGCCCTTTGGAAGTTGAGTACCGCCCTGTCTCAATAATAATATTATGTGCTCGTGTTTGGCGACAACGGATATAATCCGCCTTATCGGTTCATCGCATCGGAAACAAAAAGCGAAAGAATTTGGAACGATGTTTTTACAATTATTTATTCATTTGTATACAGTCAGTGTCAGTCGGTAACGCGTAAGTGAATAGTGGTGTCTGTTGCGTGGCGCAACGAAATAACAATGGCACATGTTTATGCGGATCGGTTTCCAATCGAGTGCAACCAACCCCTCGTGCCTTTGTTAATGTAGTACAACGGGCTCGTGAATCAGGTGACGGCATGCCGGTGCTCCAAGACCTCACGATCAAATACAGGTCCGCACTGAAATACTTGTCGGGAGGATACTTTATAAAACAAGGTAAAATTTCTTTTTATTTTTTTTTATTTTTACACACATATTTTGGTTTATCTTCCTTCTACAATCATTATCTGGAAATTAATGACTCAACTTCAAAGTCACCCTGTACAGGGAGTTTCAGTTTATTGTTGCATAACTTTAAGATTCGATAGAACTTTTAAAATTAATGCATGAAGTCTATATAAATATGGGTCGAGAAATGCGTGGCTTCCGTTTAAATTTACTGTCTAAAATAGTATTTTTTAATATTTCGAAGAATATTTGATGTATAACAGTGAAAATCGGTGTACAAGGGTTTTTTGGTACGACAAAACGAACCATGGACATAGTTTTACTGTAGCCGCTAGAGGGCGCTCTCTACTGTACCTGCAGTGTATTAAAATGACCGAAAATTTTTTTTAGTGCAATTTTGCTTTTTGAATATAAAAAAACTGATTCTTCGCACTTTTCAACATAAAAAAGCTCTATTGTGAATTTTCGTTATAGTTAGCCGTTTTTGAGATATTTCTATTTTTAAGGTTCGATGCATTTTTAATCATTTATGGGAAAATAACGTTAAAAAGTCAGTATCTCGATAATTTTTAGAAGTATTCTTTCAAATACATTGAAAAAAGCAAATAAGCTAAACCATATTTGACAGTTAGTTTATTTTTTCGAAATTTAAACACATGTTTATTCGGAGCACGCATTTTTCGACCCATGTTTATATAGCCTTTATGCATTGATTTAAAAGTTTATCGATTATTAAAGTTATGTCAACAATAAACCGAAACACCCTGTATACTACTAGCGTGTCGTCATTTGAAAACCGCTGATTAAAAGAAACAACGCCGAGTCACGTCAAAATATTTGTCAAGATGGACAACTTTTTAACCAAAATCTACATCACCCTCTTTACCCTCGGCCACCCAGGGGCATTCTCTTGAAAATTTCAAATGCCAAGGGGTATCGAGTAACAGCTTGTTTGAAAGGTCTCTCGACGTCCTTTAATTTGACGTTTGATTTTTTGAAATCGGTCGATTCGTTTTCACGAAAACTAGAAAAATCTTTATTCATCTTAATTCGATCAGATAGAAAACAAAAACTCACGAGAGTATCACTTTTAGGGTACTTCTAGGTGTAAAATAGTCGGAAGTATTGTGATAACATAAGTCTAGTAGTAGTAGTAGAAAGATTTATTTAGCACATTTGGCTACATAAACAGAATAATTGTAAACGACTTAGAACTAGTAAATTCAAGCCATATGGTGTATGATGTAAATGCTGGGCAACCTATAATTGTAGATTTAACAAGTGATTTCTCAATTTTACTTTAAATTTTGTCAAAGTTTTCTGGTCTTTTATCTCCGAGTATAATTTATTATATTCAATCAACCCTTGATGGAATACAGATTTGTAGCATATGTTATACTTTTTGGTCATTAAATAGAAGTCATCTTTATTTCTGGTACTATGTAAACGATGGTCGATATTTGATGATGTTAAATTAGTTAGACTTGATGGAAATATATTATTTTTTACTTTATAAATGAATATCATTACAAGATATTTGATAAACATTTTTACATTGAGCCTTTTTAATTTGCTAAGCATTTGCCTAATTGGAGTATATGTATTTATCCTTATTTAGTATTATTCTCATGCACTTATTTTGTAAAATTTGTAATCTTTCAAAAATGGAATTATTTGCTAAATATAGAATAGTCGAACAGTACAAGAAATTTGGAAGAATGATGGTATTATAGATAATGTTTCTGCTATATGAACTCAGACATCCAGAAACTCTCGATAAATATTCCACTTTACTACTAATCTTATTTATAACTTTTTCATAATGAATATCAAAAATTAATCGAAAGTCAACAAAAACCCCCAGGTATTTAAAATTTTCTACGAATTCAATATCTTCACCATCAATATTCAGTTGAACATTTGTACATTGTTTTTTTCCGATTAACAAGGCTTTCGTTTTACTTGCATTTAATTTTAGTCTGTTAGATGCTAACCATTTTGAGACAAGCTTCAATTCTTCATTTATATAAGAGATACCAGTCTGAATATTTTTAGTACTTTTATAAATCATAGTGTCATCGGCGAAAATCTGAATTTTGCATTTTTTGACTATGGCAGGTAAATCATTTATGTCTAAAATAAAAAGAAGTGGTCCCAGGTTACTGCCCTGTGGAACACCCAACGTATTTTCAATTTTTGATGAAATAGTGTCCTTGACGATTTAAACAAGTTTATTAGACACTATCGTGGGTATCACTTATCACCTGGGTCATTGTTGCTTATTCTATGATCTAGATAGAGATACCTGTTTGAACAGTTTATGTGACATTACCAAAGGTTATGTTCATATTATTGATAAAAAGACGTAAATCATTTGCTCTGAGAGTGACTGATGAGGCAGGAACACGCTAAACATACCCAAAAATACAGTTAAACAAAATGGGGACGTTCTAAGGTCGAATTTTCGTACTACTAAGAGATCACAATGCATATTGAATCCTCAGTGAAATCAAGACGCATTGTTATTGAAACGATTTCACCGTATAACGGTGTTAGAAAAAAAATGTTTCTACCTCAAGATCTGCAACTACCTGTTTTAATTGCATCTGGTGTAGCAGATTCTGTAATAACCCTTTCTCTTTTCGAACAAAGAATTACTTAAAAAGTGTCTTTGCAAGCAACCATAGCAAAATAGCCGATAACCACATTGCCGGATTAAAATTCGTTACAAAGCGAAATATTCGGGACGTCCAACCTAAACAAAATAGAGCAATAATACGAAAAATGTAAACTTTTGGAAATCCAATTATTTCCTAACTATTATGCAAAATAACTTACTTCACAATTGATTTGTGACACAATTGCAGAACGTTCCGTGAAGACTATTTGTTGTTTAATAGTGCGTACGTAGTGCGTATAAAAATGTTTACATCTTTAACAGTTTAGATTAAGATAGAAGACTAAAATATATACGAGGGTTATTTCAAAAGTACGGTTCCCACATTTTTTTCAGGCACAAGAAAATTTTTATTTGAAAAAACAAATCCAACATTGGAAACGCTGATCTTTGAGCTATTTCTCTACATGATCACCTTGGAAATCCTCATCCGTCTTGAACCTTTGATCGCCTAGAATCTTAAAATATACTAAGTGACATATAAATCCGAACACCCAGTTTAGATGGTTTTATTTTAATAAAATTTTGTATAAGTACTTAATGGAGCATAATAAGTAAATGATAAAAATTTCAAAATGATTGCACTGCTTTAAAGCCCTTTGACCTTTAATAATGTGTGGATGCACCCTGATGTGCTACGCATTCTCCAACGCGCCTAGGCATGCTTCTGATCAGGTGGTCAATGTCCTCCTGTGGTATGTCATTCCAGGCAACCACCAACTCCTCTCGAAGTGCTTCTAGAGTCTGATGAGGACGTTGCAAATTGAGCAATCTCCTACCCATCATATCCCACACGTGCTCAATTTGGGATAAGTCGGGAGATCTTGGTGGCCATGGTAACAATGTGACATCATTATGTTGAAAGAAGTCTATTGTGACTCTTGCAACATGTGGTCGGGCATTATCTTGTTGGAAAGTTGGATCTGCCAGGGTGTCAAGATACGGTAAAAGATGGGGTTCTAGAACTTCGCGGATATAACGCTGCGCGTTCATTTTACCTCTGATGAAGATTAAAGGTGACCTGGAACCATAAGCTATAGCACCCCAAACCATAACTCCAACAGTGTGATGAACATGTCTTTCAACAAAAAACTGTGGATTCCTCCTTTCACCACGTCACCTTCTAACCCTGGCACGACCATCGTGCATGCCTAAACAAAATCGAGACTCGTCATTAAAGACAATACTGTTCCATTCCTGATCCCAGAGTGACCGTTGTCTGCACCACTCAAGGCGATTACGTCGGTGTTCTCGAGTTAAAGGGAGGACCCAGTGTGGCCGGTATGAAAACAAGACAAAACTTCTCATTCGCATGTCAATAGGTCTTCCGTGTTCTGCAAACCATTCATTTGCAATGGACCTGGTAGTGGAGAAACGGTCCCTTAAGGCCAATAATCTTAGGCGGCGATCTTCACGGTCTGTTGTTCTACGGCGGCGTCCAGTGCCCCTTGCTCTTTGCGTACGGCCTTCTCGAAGCCATGCCTGACAACACCTAACCACAGTGTCTACACTTCTTTGCGCTCTAACTGTAATTGCCCGAAAAGAAAGTCCAGCTTCCCGAAGTCCCACTATACGGCCCCTATCAAACTCACTAAGTTGACGAAATCGTACAAGTCTCCGTACTCTAGGCATCGTAACCGATCGTAAAGGATGTCAAGCACCAAAATCCACCAACGTTGATTCTTTACTGCGGTTGAAATATTCATTTTTAGAGCGTTAGTGAATT